CGACTGTCAATCAAGCCAGCCACGCCCCTTGCCCCGTAAAATGTTGACGATTTTTTAAAAATTCAGTATTGATTTATTTTCAGATTGGCCACCTGATCTCTGGATTTGACCATGAAAACTAATAAGAAAAAAATCCTGAGCTGTAGGAATGCAGTATTTCGTGATCTGTGATCACTTCTTTTCCAATTCAAGTCTATGGGAGCCAGGGCTTTTTGGAGCCAGCAGCTGGCGGACGTAGTGATATTGCAGGTTTTTGACACTTCCGGGTTGGCTTCATTTTTCAGGGCCGGTTGCTACGTCCATCTTTTATACAGTCTATGGTTTTTACTGAAAAGCCCAACCAGGGACAGGGGTTGAAAATTAGCTTCATGCTATATACTCTATATGCAACGCATCAGATGTTTTCTATGTTTAAATGCATGGTTCCTGATCAAATAAAGAAATAAAATACATGTATATGTTTAGCATCCCCACTTGCAGTTTGGAGTTCACCACGGGAATGCACACCCTAACTGAAAACAAAAAAAAGATAGCTTGCTGACATTTTTAACAATGCAATGTTAAAAAGCTTTTTTAAAAAGTGAGTGAGCTTAACCTAGTTTCCTTTGACTGGTGCCAGTGCACTGCAGTAACACGGCACATCCACCTGGGAGAAAGCTAATTATAATGCAATAGGAGGATAGAATAATAGATAATACTGTGAAGACATTTTTCTATAATCCTAACTGGCATGAGAGTACATTGCTGACAGGACAAGAAAGAGGTGCCACCACAGGTCAAGAGGCTTTACAGCAGGAGATGGAGCAACAGCAGGAGGTGGACACACATAGATAGTACGCCCACAGAGATTAGAAGCTTAAAACGTGCGACATCGTACATGGTCTGCATTTTACTGTGAACCTACACTCGACAGGACTTCTGCAGAAGGTGCACTCATGAGTCCAAAAAAAAAGATTTAAATTGATCAATGGCGCGATATTCTAATATATGTTATTTTTATTTTTATTTTTTGAAAGTTTAGTTTACTGTTCAGGCGTTGATATTCCAGCCTCTCTCTCTCGAGCTAGCCAGCTGTGTTTTATGCTGGCAGTGAACTCCCTTCTCCATTTAACCTCTGGCTGGAAAGTGGTGTAAGGGGAAGCAAACACTGCAGCCATTATCTTATCATTACCCTCAGTCAAACGGGTGAGAGAGAGTTGCCCAGGGAGGTTTTCTACCCGACGTGTGAAAATCCCACGCTCTGTACCGGCTACAATGCTACTATTATACATATCAGGACTTATTCCCAAAATCAGAGCGGAGCCGCTGAGTTCAAAACATTCCCATACTTCTCATGGTGGGCCGCCATACGGATCAGTCCATATTTCCAGCCGCAAGCCAGCCTTTAGTCAGAAGAAGTTTAGCAGGCCTGGTGAGCGGCAATCCCGCTGTATCATTAGCCAAATTCTGGTTAGATATGACACGGCAGAGCAGCGCGCGGCTGACAGTCATTCTGTAGCAACCAGCAATCAACAACAACACAAATACAGCATGGAAAAAAATCAATGCTACACCAAAAATGTTACAGGCCTTCCTGCAGATGTCTCATACAGCTTGTCTCTTTGTATAGGCTTATGTGACATTGAGAATCTAACACTCATTGACTGCCAGCTGTTTTCAAAGAGCGCCTGGCGCCTCTCTCTTTAAGAGCCGGCGAGAGAGAGACACACAGAGAGATGAAGAATGTCATCCCCTGAAAGACAAAAAGATAAGTCATCAAGACTGTAATGATGGGGTGGGACAGGGAGGGGGCAGCGCAGGGAGGAGACGGATGAGTATCATAAAAATCAATCATCCGTTTTTGGTAAACACCGACAAAAAAAAAAAAAAGAAAAAAGCTGTTGCCAAAACTGATTACGCTCTATGAGTTAAACTAGCATTATCGCGCTCATTTCAAGAGCATCAATCAGATTACTTGACTCCTTGTGGACTTATTTTTTTTTTTTTTCAAAGTGCTCAACTCATAGTGCTCCCATGGTTCAGTAAACATCGCTTCAACACAATGATAACAAACAGCTCGCCCCGAACTCGATAGCTTTCCTCCGCGTGGCTTTCTCTCCGAGGCAAATTACTTAAGAATAGGGGACTATGCGAGATGTTACATGAGGCGTATCGACGTGAAAGCGATATCTAGGAATCTCTGCTCGCCGCCGGCTGGGCATAATCAGACAGGGGCTGGGGCGGGGACGGTCGACTGGGTGTTAAGTTTTTTTTATTTATTTTTATGACTTTCTATAAAACTAGCCAATTCAAAGAAGAAGAAGAAGAAAGGTTAACAAAGCTGCTAACTCAACTCTTGGGATTTTTCTGGGCATTTCACTTGCAGATCTGACTTCATTTGCACATGCTGCCATGTTTTGTACATCTAAACCCATTTTCATATCAGGCTTGTACCAGCTACCTCTAGCGCCAAGGGATTTTATTTCATAAACTGTGCCATTAAATGGAAGTGCTGCAACTTGACATCACTCTCAGAGTTGGGACGCAGTCGTCTCCCGTCGTCCTCCCGGGCTGAATCCGGGTGATGTACTCGGCGTGTGACCTTGAGTCAGGCCCGGCCAACACGCGTACATTAGGTTGATCAAGCTCCCCCCCGGTGTCACGGCAGGGAAAAAATACTGTGTGTACCGTGGCAGAGATCATCCATAGCGTTTCAGGTGGCTCATAATTTGGAGGCATAAATTAAATCTTTCATATTTTACTAGCTGTTTAATATGCCAGACTGGAGCAGATGAATGGTTATTTATGCTTAGGAGCCAAGAGACGGGGACACGGGGGAAAAATATTGCCAATGCACAAAGCCAAATCGCCCCTTCAGTCTATCTTGTTTTCGCATCTCTCTAACTCTGCCTTTTTTCTCGTCTCGCTTTTCCATCTGTCTCTTTCCTGGCCCTCGGTGTCTGCCTCACTCCCTTATTTTCTGTCCTGCTAAGAATGCGTTGACCCCAAACTTAAGCAAGCCCCACATCACTCATTGAAACAAGAGGAATAGTTGGTGTCAGGACAAGACAGATTTGCTCTTTAAAACATTATGGATTACAGACATTTTGAAGAAAGGGGGATCTCTAAGAGACTGGGGCTGGTGTTAATCCTGTCAAATGATTTATTCATTATGGTCAATCAAGTAAATTAAAAGTGTCCGCTCACTACTTGGCCCTCACTACTGTACCTCATGATGAATGGCGCAATGAGATGAGATAACGTTTTCATCACATTACTGCTCCCAACCTCAAATTTGATCATTTCTCCCATCCTACCTACGAGCGTAATCACTTGGAAAGAGCCGCTGTACGTATTCCTCATTTGCGCTCGTAATGTTCCATCTCGGCGAAAGCTCGACATAATTAGAAAACTAAGAGCCATCAAAAGGAAAACACTTAAGGACTTGTAGGAGGAAAATCGCGGCACATTACGCTACTTCTGCCAAGACACAATGCTCGTTGTCGGGCGAGAACATCTAATGTCTATCAGAAAATAGAGCACACAGCTTCTTCTGGGACCATCCCGAGTGTGTGGCAGTCATTCGAACGCTGCAGAAGTCACCCTTGCATGTGTCAGTACCATTCAGTCTGCGCTAATGGACCAACATCTCAGTCTTCACAGGGGAGAGGAGTTTATCTACTGTCACACTAGTGAAGCACTCTGTGGAAAATGAATTGGACAGCGGAGAGATGTAGAATCAGTCAGTGGGTCCTTTCAGGGAAAGAGTACGCTATCAGATTGAGAATAACTGTTGCAGTGTTACTCCGGTAGCAAAAAAAAAATGTAAAAGCATCCGTATGCATTTCTTGTTGGTAAAAGGATGTAGAATACTTGCTGTGTTTCTCGCTACTTCTGGAAGAAAGGCTTCACATTTTTTGGGATGAAACAGAAGCATGAGCTCATAGTCCGTTTGAACCTGTGCACAGGGAAGCGGCTGCTCATGGCCTCGTGTCTTGTCCATGCATGTATGATACTGTAACTGTAGAACCTGGAATTGCAGTAAACTGTATGTGTGTGTGTTCATATGCCTGAAAGCATTGCAACGAATTCCAGGGGAGGCAAACGTGTAATCATCTGAACTGCAGAGGGGCTTGTGACTGTCTGACATCAGACCATGAATGACACAGTGCACAACATCATATTTGCGCGGTTACAGCACATGGTCAAGTGACCGTCTGGCAGTTTCTTTTTTTTTTTTTTTATAAAGCTGGCAGTTTCCGTGCACAAAGAAGAAGCAAATTTGCTCAGGAGCAGCAGCTTAGTTTTAAAACGACATGGGAAACTGATAAAGGAGCAGAGGGAGCCAGGTGCTGATCCTGCATCTGTGCTCCCAAAATGTCGAGGGTAGAGAGGATATGAGGGGGACTTTCTCATATATTTGATCAGGGATGAAACAGCCAGATTGTCTGTGGCATGTCTGCACTGTCTTAATATCTTTTCAAAGCACTGTTTCATCTGGAGAGATAGCCCAGAGCTCTCCCGCTTTACCATGTGACATGAGATGAGCGTGACAACAGGTCCAAGAGGTATAGAGACAGATGCCTTCTCTGCTCTTTTCTCACATGAAAACAAACTTTACAAACACACATTTCATTTTTAAAATGAGAGGTGAAGTCACACATTCTCCTGCAGGCCACAGTGAGTTCGAAATTCAAGAGTCTGTGAACCAATTTCATGCAAACCTGCAATCATTCATTTAAATAGGAAATGTCAGATATACACAACAATACTTAGACGCAACTAATGGCCTCTGAAGGTGGCCTCAAAATAGACCAAGAGTCCTTAGGGGACTTGCAAAGAGATTATGGTGCTCATTTTAAAGCAGCTGTGTGCCTCTTTGCTGTGGGTTTAACACATTATTTCACATTTTCCAAAAAAAGGGATTATGTGTTCAGTTCAAGGGCTGATCATCTTATTTATAAAGGTGCGCACAACATATACAGACTCGGATAGGCTGTGTTATTTATCGAGGAGCTCACCTGATATCTCAGACTGAGGGACCCCATCCAGAGCGAATCCCTTTCCGCCGTAAAACTGCCGGATATCCGAACAACTCCGGGCTTTGCTGGTCCCTTTGTCCCCATAGGTGGGTGCCGTTAGAGAGCACAGTGCCAGAGCCGCTATGATGAAGGAATCCATTCCGGTCGACTCCTGTAGATGTATGTGGGACTTTATGTCAAGTGCAAATCCGAGCGAGGGACGAAGCTTGCGTGTGTGTGTGTGTGTGTGCTGAGTCCTGCGCGGAGACTCTCAGTGAGTGAACGACGGAGCTACTTGGTGCTGCTGTGCGTAAAATATCCTCCACCTTCCTTCTCTCCCCTTTTCTGCCCTTTCAGTGCGTCTGCCGAGTGCGTGGCTGCTCTCCGCGCACTGCTGCTCACAGGTTCCGTCTCTTCTCGCTCCTACCGCTGGACAGGACAGGAGCTGCTTTATTATTATGGATTTTTTTTCTTTCTTCTTCCTCCAAAAATGACTCTTGCAATAGGCTGCCCAAGAGAAAAGCGCAGATCTCCTGTCTCAAATATATCCACTGTGGGGTCTTTTTTCTTTCTTTCTTTCTTTCTTTGGCTCACCTAGAGAGGGAAGCAATGAAAGAATTAGGTTACGCATTTACAGCTGAAATATTTTTAAGTCATGTCAGAAAATAGCACTGTGCTGCTGGCTGACGCCGCGGCAGCCTGGTTCTGTTGACTCAAGCCTACCGGCTGTGACGGCCCGGAGGGATCTGAGCAACAACAACAAAAAAAAAAGAGGTGCACCCGGGCAGATACCGCAGCTCAGGGTTCTCTGAACGATGCTGTGCCAGCGCTGCCACTCTGTGGAATGAGAAGGAGGCGGAGAGAGAGAGAGAGAGAGAGAGAGAGAGGGAGAGGGAAGAGAGAGAGGAGCAGAGAGACAGAGCGAGGGAGAGGGAGATAGAGAGCAAAGGTTCAAGCCCCTTTTGCCACTTTATTATCCAGATTTTGTGAGACAGGTTTCAGAGTGTTGCCTAACAGGTTTGGTTTTTACAGGCATCAGGCAGTTTCATTTTTTTTTACAGAAGTGTAAGTATGGTGATTGGCGCATCGTGAGGTGGTCTGGTTCTCAGGTGAGGAATGCGCCTTTACGCGTCCTGACAGCTCGATCACCACCGGCCAGGTGTCACACAGGAGCAGTGGGCGTGTCCTCCAGCCCAGGTATCCACCCCCAGCACACAGGTCAGCGTCTCTCTCTCCTCCGCTCTGCAGCACAGAGGATCAGTAATACATGAGCCTCATCACTCCTCAAGGTGCAATTAATCGGCCAACGAGTCACTACTTGCCTTGTGCCGTTCCCAGTGTACCTGTCACCTGCTGAATGCCTTCATTATCTTCAGTTTCTCTACGTGTTCCTGGATGTGTTGGTTAATAACACAAGCCCGAAAATGTTTCTTTGGTATTTTCAGGCTTGACTGGACACTGGAAAAACAAGAGAAGGAAACACTTTCACTGTAAAGTAAGTTGGCATTTTGCCGTATACATGCAATAATGACCCTTCATGCAGCAGATCTGTGCTGCAGGATGACACTAATAAGTGCTGAAGGCTTTGTAGGCATCTGATTTCATGCCACCATGTTTTTACAAATCTGTGTTCAGTTGCTGTTAAACTCCCTCTCTGGTTATTGATTTAACCCCAAATAACTCATCTCTGTGTATCAAAGTTACCTTTTTTCTCAGAGAAAATACTTGCTTCCTGCCTTAAAGCGTCTCAGATGTAACTCTACTAACATGCAGATCTATGAAGTCCACGCCTCGCTCTTAACCAAACACCTTCCCTACTTGCTGCAGCTGGAGCACACCAGCTCACCCTCGACTCTGCTCAGACACATTAAAGCTACGCAATGACAATTGCAATTCAGAACCAGAAACCAGGAATAATCACCTCACAACCCGATGTTCTGGTCCCTTTGATTTCGTACGACGAAAATCTGCATCCGTGTTTTTCGGTCGACATCGGTACGCCGCAGTTTTGAAGGTAGAAATGCTCAGTGATGGCATCGTCTTCTTACTTTGCGTGTCTTCTAACATGTAAATGAACACCATATTGACATGTCAACAAGATACAAAAACAAAAAAAAGATTTGCTCCAGATGGGTTCTTTAATTTATCACATTCACTATTTCTGCAGTCGCTCACACGTCTTGTGGAAAAGCTTCTTTTCCGGAATGTGACTGGTTTTGCTTCCTTTTTTGTCTCAAAAGAAAATTGATTGTTTACAAAGCATTGTACATGTTGTGCAGACTTGGAATTTTTCCGTTTATTCACCACTTCTAATAGGATCAGCGACTCAAAGTTCTCAGCTCTCCAGTGCCTTGTCATGGCCAGTGGCAGCAAAATGTCCATAACTGAGGCCTTTATTTCTTTCTTTCTTTCTTTTCTTTCTTTCTCCCGTTTATGGTTTGTATTTCAGGCCCTGTCTAGGAACACTTAAGTGTAATGGTCTCACACTGTAATAGATGCCGACTACACTTTGGGTATAGCGATGATTTCAAGAGTTCTGTGCTCAGACATCATCTGACACCTCTGCATGTGGTCCCGCATTATCAGAAGTTCAGCGAACGACTACAGTGTGCGTTTCATGTGATAGACGCCCTCTCAGAGAACATTCAGCTGCTGTAAACTCACTCTGTGGGCTTCTGGATATATTTGTGTAATATCAATAACGAGGCATACAGTCCCCCTCACTTAAAATAATATCCCATTAGTCATCTCAGTGTGTGAAATTGAATCAGACAGCGTTCGGCGGTGTCGCTCCTGTGGGAGATGCTTTTTAAGGATTGTTTGCGGAAGAAAATGCCACCGCACATTATCGCAGTGACACGTGGAAAAACTCCAGCGCAGCCTTAAACAAGCGGCCGTCACGCGACAGATAGACAATCAAAAGCGAGAGGCGAAAAAGAGAGGGAGAGAGAGAGAACGGAGGAACGACGGGGGAGAAAGGAGAGAGCCACATGGCAAGAACAGTCATTTCCTGCCTACAAATCATTCTATTTATGAAGACAGACATTGTTTATGAATACATTAGGAAATGTTACTCTATAATTAGTCTGTTCCTCATCACTGGATGAGTCTAAACAAAGAGAACAGCATCTCACATATCACTTACTGACAAATGGCTACACTCACTTCCCATTATTACAGCCCTGAAATGAGTAGGCATGAATTACACCTTCGTTCTGCAATGTCAAGTGTTTTATTCATTTGCAGCCCGTGCAAGTGTGCTTGGGCAAATCTGGCACGGTCGCAGTTGCTCTACTAAAGTTGAGAAATGTGTAATTGTGCCACACAGCAGACGCAAACCAATAATTATGTGTAATACTGTTGCTTCACTTTTCTTGTTTGCTGTGAGGGGGAAAACCAGGCGGCGTTAAGCACACGCGGCCAGAGGTTAATAAATCTAGCGGGCTCGAAGCGGCCGTGTGATGATATGTCAGTCGGGATTATATATGGGTTTGTGTATGCATGACCTTTATGTGTAGATGTGCGTCCGTGTCGGAGTGTGCGAGTTTATGTGTCTGACTGCGTTCCACATGTGGCCATAGGTCGGCAGCGCTGCCGGAGAGCTGATTGGCCCCGTAAAGCCAACAGAACAGCCATGTTTTCTTCAGGCTGCCTCTCATTGAAGTTTTATTGGCCCTGACCATGAAAGGCCTTCTAATGAGGAGCAGGATGCTGGGGGAAGTTCAGGAGACCGGGTGAGAAGAAAACGAGGGGGAGGCGGGATGGTAAGCAAAAGAAAAAGAGGAGAGAGAGCGCGGGGTGAGAGGCCATACAGCTAAGCAACAGCCAGTTTAACGTACATGTGCAGTAATTATGCGGTGAGCCTTTTTCAGGGCGTGATGAGGCTTTCTAGTGAAAATTACATCGCGTCTGTACAGAAATACTGCAAACGTTCCACCACATCTTTCAAGCAAGAACGCTCACTGAGGAGACGGACGGGAAGAGCTGTTGCTATTACCTTTTCCCTTTAAATAGAAGTGAGCGAAGCGCCTTTATTGTCGATGCACGTCGCTAGTTAACAACATTTGCAGGCCTGAGGCACAAACAAGGATGCATCAGGTATGAATGTGTTTCTTTTAAAATACATGAAAAGCACCTATTAGCAAAATTAATTCCCTTTTAATTTTTTTAACAAATTGTGTATTGAAAAGGTAGCGAAAGGCAGTCGTTTGTAATATTACACTTAATTACACTAATTTGTAACACAGTTATACTTTATAGACTTGGCAATGTGTGGGATTTACACACCAAAGTTAACATCAGGGTGTTAAATATGTACTTAGCCTCTCAGGATAAGGCCAGCGGAGTCAATAGGGAGCACCGGGGCAGCGACTGCTTCACTCTTTATCTATGTAAATTCACTGACATCGACCCCGATGTAGCCGAAGCTAATTTGAAATAGGTGTTCTGAGTACTTCCTCTCCTGCTCTGCCTTGCAAAACATCTGCACCTGTCCAAGTTTGTGCTCCTCCGCGACCGCCAGCAACCGAAATGTCATCGTTAGCTTCATATTTTAACAGCTTATTTTGCTTTTGGCTGCAGGGTTGTTTGCACTGTTGCTTCGCAGCAAGAAGGTTGCCGGTTCGCGTCCCGGTGGGGGCACCGGAATCTTTCTGCGTGGAGTTTGCATGTTCTCCCCGTGCAGCGTGGGTTCTCTCCGGGTTCTCCGGCTTCCTCCCACAAGGTCCAGAAACATGTTGAGGTTAATTGGTGATTCTAAATTGTCCGTAGGTGTGAATGTGAGTGTGCTTGGTTGTCTGTCTCTAAGTGTAGCCCTGTGATAGACTGGTGACCTGTCCAGGGTGTCCCCTGCCTTCACCCTAAGTCGGCTGGGATAGACTCCAGCCCCCCATGACCCTCATGAGGATTAAGTGGTGTATAGATAATGGATGGATGGATTTTGCCATCGCATTGCTTTCTAAAGATGCACAAAACAGAGCTGGAATTTGAAGGGAAATTACCTTAAAATGACTTCGATTTACTTAAAATTCCATTACCTTGCATAATTAAAAGTATGCAATTTGGTATAAAAACGCTGCTCTGCTGTACTACATGAAATGTATGTAAATTGTATTTTTTTTTACTTACCACCAGCAGCCTCTAGATTGCTGGAATATTCATAACACAACTGCATCAGGATTGCCACATCGGAATGTAGCGCTCGCTGATTAACTACTGATTGCACAAATTCATTGCTGTCAAACCAGAGAACTCGGTGTTTCCTAATTTTGTGTCTTCGCCTGTGTGATCGGAATAGTTTTGAATAGCTTAAAGCTCACTGAACTTTTTTTTTCCAAAGGCCTTTATTGTGAAACTGTTGGATTGGAAAGTTGTTATAGGGGAGAAGAAGAAAAAAAACATAGGTGTGGATGCATTTTGCTCCCAAATCAGTCACTTGAGAGCGAGATGGCGAACACAGAGAGGTGATAGCAAAGGCTTTCATGATGTAATGCCACTTCGTATCCTGTCATTTATCCAGCCTGTATGGAAATTTGACATCACAATATTCTGACTGTGTCCAATGAGCCGCTCCGCTTTTACAACATGCAATTTCTCATTCGCGGATACACACACACACAAAAAAAGGCAATCTCATCCTTTTCTTGAAGGTCAACTCACATGTAACCGCATAAAATGGCTCAAAGAGGATTTTGTCCTTTTTTTTTTTCTTCCCCCTCTCTTCACGTGTGGCATTGAAATGTACTAGTACAGAGTGCTCTCATCACACCCACGAATGCAGTTTTATGGAGACACCCAAAAGAGCAGAGTGCAGCCAGATCTGATAGAAACACATGCACACACAAAACACACTCCCATTTAAAATAAAAAGCCGTGTAGCGAGGGAGCCACGGGACTGGCCGGCGTACAGGACCAACAGCCGGGCCTCTGCAGGGTTTCTATGTAAATATCAGTGTGATGTTTCAACAGATGTAATCAGCCTTTAGAGGGAGATCATTGTGTCCTTCTCCCTAAAAAAAAAAAAGCCAGACTCATCCTGGGCTCTTACAGATAGCATCGATTCTGCATCCTCTCTGGGTTTTTATGTCAACCATTAGCCGGAGTTCAGCACATTCACCAAAGAGCTCGAGTGCGCGCACATTACTCACCGGGTCTATCTCTTCCCCCTTTCATTGTCTCTTTTCTTTTCTGCTCATTTCATTTAGATTCTCTCCCTTGTAAGCTTCTTCCTTCATCTTCACAAGAATATACGATCACGCCTTCATCTTTGCCTGTTGAAACACAATCAAGCGTACAACTTAGAGACGTTTTAACACCTGCCTTTTCTTCTCGCCTGTCCCTTTGCCATTTTTTTTGCATTGCCCCTTGATCGCGTCTGTCTGTGCAAACACAGCCTCCACAAACAGCAGATCTGCCTATCTTTATGCACGAGGCCCTCCTCAGCTGCCAGAGACAGACGATGACAGAAAAAAGGAGACATGTTGATGCTAAGTGCAGAGGGTAGAGAGATAATACAGTAGAGGGGAGGAAAAAAATGAGAAATAGTGAGGAGGGGGGAATACTGAGAGAGAAAAGGTTGGTGGTGGTGTTGGTTTGGGGGGTGAGCTTATGAGGAAAGATAAGGAAGGAGAGAAAATGATGATGGATGACATGTGGCGAATGACAGAGAAGAAAGTAGCAGAGAGGGATCTGGGGTGGAAAGGGACGAAGTGCAGGAAGTAGAGCGAATAGAGAATTTTCAAAGAAAAAGGAGTGGAAGGAAAATGATAAGAATTAAGTGAAAACGCCGGATGACCGGTGGGGTCTTTGAATTCTTGCAAACAGGCACCGGCGGGGATGAGAAATGCCCCCCACGGTGTGCTGCGCTGTGCTTTTGTGCGTCTCCGTGGGCATCCTTGCAACTCTTTCTGCTGGGTAATATGAGCACATTCCAGCTTTATCCATGCATGGACGAAATGTTAGCTACACTATGCAACATAATAAAAAATAAGATTTAAAAAAAAAAAAAAAAAAACAGGAACTACTTTCTCTAGAATTACCCCAGGATGCGGCGGAGTGCATGAAATCCAATTGAAACATCGCTTAGATCTGAATAATGGCCACTGAACACAGTTTTTTTAATACTCGTTCACTGCGTCTTACGTCGTCACTGACAAAGCAAAGAAAATATCTGAGATTTATCGAATAAGAGAAGTGAAATGTAGCCTCCCTCGTACGCAGTGGCAGACAGTACCCATCTGGCAGTGGCGTATTCTCATTCCTGCACCAACTTCATCCAATTACTCTGTTCATTTACCTGCATGCTGTTCTCATATAAATATTTCACCTTCTCCATTTGTCATGTGTCTTAGAGGATGAATTAACTGCTCCCCTCATCTGCCTCTCGCTGTGAAAACTCATAAACATCACGGGGGAAGGGATGACAACGCTGAAAGACAAAGATGACCTCACGGCACTGACTCTCATGCCGGTAATTGTTTGTATATATAGATACGATCACTACATTTATAATTCCTGCATGTGCTCAGGTTACCAAAATAACAGGTTGGAGCGGATGGTATTTTCCTAAGATCGACCGTGACAGCGACCTTGATATCACAACAGAGTTTGAAACATCGAAACCGGCCGCAAATCTCTCCTAAATTTAAAATGCGTGTAAAAGGCTCCAGAGTCAACTAACCTGAGCCCTCTTCAGGTTTTTTTATGTGGTTCTGTTACAGATCTCCGTCCAGACTGGCAACATCTTCCCCTCGACCTCAGAAGCGGTGGGAGGCCTCGTCTCAGTGTGGTTCTCAGCCCCCTGTGAGGAGTCCGACATTATTTTCCCACTACGACTTTAGGACATCCACGCATTCCTTCAGCATTCCTCAGCCCTCCCCTGTACAGGAGGCACTTTATCACATCAGCTCCTACTCTCATTTCCCCCCTCAATTTATTTTTTAATGAAAGGGACTCGCACAAAGTATTAGCGCTGACTCGGCTTGATCGCCGCACACAAATACAGTCAGTGTTAATTGCTACCACAGATATTAACCACCAGCATTCACAAGCAGATTTTTTTTTTCCTATTTAAAACAAACCACTTTTGAAAGCTGCCCAGCTTTAGGGCTGGTTTGTCTTAAGCCTTTTCCCTCGCCCTCTCCGATCAGAGCGAAGCCGCTAATAGGGAATTGCCATTTAGATCGATTGTTCACTCAGCGCTGCCTTCTTATGGCGTTGTAAACCGGACTGTAAAACAAATCTAGCCTGTAAATCTGTCGGCTGAGAAACAATCTGTCTTTGGTTGGTTTTCAAATAAAGCTGTAATGCTGCGTGTTTGTTTTCCAGCAGCCCCGAAGGGGGGGAAAAGAAACGCTGGGCGACCCACCGCTGATGTAAGAACTCCTCTTGAGTCGTGCATCATTTACGCCGGCGTATGTAAGCGTGTGCTCGCTTGACGTGTAACATCGGCACCATCAGCGATGCACGGCTGTTTTACAAGCTGATAGCAAGAGGCTGCGTTCGAGGGACATCAAAGGAAGAAGGATGCATTATTGTATGAATGTTGCTTGCACTTGTAGTTTCAGCCTCTCCAACCCCCCAGATGCTTATGTGTCATCTGTCTGCTTGCTGGCTGCGCTCTTTTACCCTCACTCCAACCAGTGGAGGCAGATGGAGGCCTTCCCTGAGCCTGGTTCTTTTAAAAGCGAGTTTCTTCTTCCCACTGCTTGCTCAAAGGAAATCATTTAGATTTGTGGTGTCGCTCTCTGTATTACAATAACACTCTCCGGTCTTCACCTTACTGTGTAAAGCGCTATGAGATGACTCATGTAGTAAACTGGCAACGGAGTTGTTTTGAAGTATCATTTGACGAGCAGAATAACATTTGAACAAAGATCCAACACATCGTTTTATTCAAATAACATTCTAATAGATTTTTGTCAGCCTTTTCCATCTCAGTATTTGAATACATTTCTAGACTGGAGTCAGTGTGAAGCCAGAGTTGCAGCCAAAAGTCATAATAAGTCTGTTGAGTTACACGTGATCTCGTGCCAGCATTCATTGGTATAGTGTTTAGGAAAAATCATTTATATTCAGCTCCCTGAGAATTCAATTAACAAGTTTTGAACAATGGACAGTTTGGCTTATAGGAGAAGGAAATAATTTGTCCTACCGCTAAATCCTGAAGTTAGTCAGCGTTCACCACAATATTATTATTATTATTATTATTATATGTCTGTGAGAATGTCTGGCCTTGAAGTGTGGAGAAAGTTTCAAGAAGCCAAAGTTAGCAAAAAAAAAAAAAAAAAAAGTTGCTGCATGGATGAACTCAAAGACCTTGTGCACATTAATATGGATATTTTTTCTACATAGTTATCTTCTGCTTTGCTTAAAAAGAAAAAATCAATCAATAAATCAGTCTGCACAGCTGTTGTTTGACAAAGTGTTCCTGCACATGCTCACTTTGCAAAATTAGTGGACAAAGCCTTGAAATCAAGTCAATGTGTGGACCGTGGTTACTTCTGGTTACTGCAAACTGAAATTCAACAATTGGCTTTTTTTTTTTATTCTTTCTTGACCCCAGTGTGACCTTACTGCACTGTAAGGAGACCACACCAGTCCCTGCTGGTTGGTATATATTGACTGGAGGAGGAGGCAGCTGAAAAAGGCCCAGAGGAGACGAGTTAAATGCAGAATAAGTGGCGTATTAAATGTGAATGCGTTCAAGGATACTGTGACAGAACTGCGCAGAGCGTCGAATTAGTTATGCAGTTGTTTTTGTAGAGTAATTAGTGAAGTAACTTTTTCAATAGGTGCTTGCATTGTTAAGAAATTTGCCTGTGTGTGAGTGCATGAGTAGAATTTGTCATTAATTTCCAGCAACATGTCTTCAGTTATTAACAAGTGCTTTCAGGTGTGGTTAGATTTTTAGAGACAGTTACAAAACTTTTAGGGAAAATTCCTTGCAGCACAAAATAATTCAACAAGTATGCATCCCTGAACTTTTTTGTGTAAATATGTGAATTTTTATGTACGAAAAACTGCCATCAAATAGCTTCTTTGCATACATGTCTTCTAAATACTACATATTTGATGCAGATTCTGTTTCTTTTTCATCACACATCATTATTATTATTGGTAAAAGGATAATTATATCATTTGGGAAATGCACAACATGTCTGAGATGGTAAACAGCCTACGTACTGTATCCTGTATAGTATTATTTTAATATGTTATAAGCATATGTCTGGAAAAAAACATGTTTGTACAGAATGCAAGCGAACAATCTGATAAATGCCCCAGACTTGTGTTGTCCCGACAACAGTGAAGTTAGTGATGTGGCTTCCTGTCATCAACGCAATCCAAAATCCATTTGGCACGAGGACGGAGAGAAAATGTTATGAGTATGGGGGTGAAGTCGTAGTGGATCTGAAACATTGATTTGCCCTCTCCCATGGCCTGCAGAATCAGACAGCAACAGGCATCCCTGAATGTGTAATCAGAGCCAATCAATGACTCCCCTCATCGGTCCAGGTTCGCACACGTGGACCCGACGTGCACACACACACACGTCGGCAACATCCGTGCCCTTAATGTGACATTCATGCTACGACACACCGAGGTTTGGTATTCGACAGACGAGTGCAGGGGAGGGAAAGATCCTGACAAATTAATACAATGGTCATACAATTTTCAGTTCTAACCTGACAGAGACAGAAGGAGGGGGAGAGAGAGTTGGAAAGGTGGAATGGCACCCAAGGGAGCTATGGAACATTCACACGAGTGCTCATCCATCTCCAGGACATGAGGACGGAGGCTGCCTGTAGCATGCCAAACAGAGCAGCGCAGACCGACGGAGAATTCGACATGAGATGCAGGCCAGCCTTGAACGTATGTGATAGACGTGCCCTGTACGCACACATACGCACGTCCGGCTCCGTCTTCGACTCCTCGATCATACCTCACATTACACAAACACCAGTGGCGACCCGGCTGGTCTAATTGGAATGGGAGCTCATACTGGCGGGGCCACATTTCTCTCTCTGGCTGGCCATTGTCATGTGGAGACATAATTAATCTGTTTTCCTAGCCAGACCTTCATGTTGACTAATGTTCAGGCCCCTCTGTGCCGCCTTATTAAGACACAATACATTCTAATGACACCCTCCCTGCACTTTTGTGTGCCTCCTCGGCCGGTAAATAACTTCAGGTCTTTCATTGGGTATGTGCGTGACTTTACATGCGCAGTATGCGTGTTGTGTACAACAATTTGCATCCGCTGGCCAAACATATAGGCTAATCTGTAAGCTGATTTATGCGTTGCGCACACTCGCCACGCCACCGTTCCTGTGCATAATCAAACCGGGTCCAGTGAACATGCTGATAGGTGGATTTATCTGTGTCAGCAATTGTCAAGCGACAGACCAAGGCGGCCTCGGTTCATGTGAATGCGGTTTGGACTGAAACCACTGGTCTGAAACTGGTTAAAACAAAGAAGAACTTTACCACTTTTGTTATATTGCTCACTTATATCCAACATTACTTTTCAGAATCATGATGGGAATTTAAAAAACTTCAACAAAACAAGCCGTGTTTTATTTTATTGTAATTAGATAAAAATGAAAAAATTTGAAAAAAAAAAAAGAACAATCAGAAACAGATGCAGCTGTAAAAGGGGGATTCTGTGTTTAGCAGGAAGTAATATAAGAATGCAGAATTGCTTTCAGACAGAGCAGACAGTTTATTACTGGTACGATGACACAGTGCAGCCCTATGAGGGTTTTTAGTTTACCAGCAGATGAAAGTATGCTGCGGCATTTTTTTTTTTTATAATTGGGTTTAAGTTCCCTGAAAATGCATCTTATCTGCATTTTGAGCAGCATTTCGTATATGAAATAAAATTGATTATTCTTATTATCTGGAGTACATAAAACCCCCCATTAACTGCATTTTGGCAAAATCTGTAGAAGTGCAATTTAATTTTTTGCTTAGATACACTTCAGGATTTAACCACAGGTTTCAAGTAACACACCACTGAAGTAATAGCAGCTGGTTTACTTTTGCCCTTTTCCCCGATTTACTCTTTTTTAGTATAATGAGCAGAAAAGCTGGAAAATGAGCAATTTACACAATTATTGCCTTGAAGCAAATTCTATTTGTTGTATTTCCAGCTGAAGTTTTACCCCCAATTAAATTAAGAATAAAGAATTACGGTGTGTATCACTGATGTTTTCTGTCTTTTCTCTCCTCAGTTTTGAGACATGATCGGGGACTTGTGCGCTCGCAGGTCTGGCTGACCTCCTAACCACCTTTTCCCCGGTATGATTTTTTGACAGAACAGTGAGCAGCAAAGTCGAGAAAACCTCTTCACCTGTGGGTCCCCTGTGTTGGGAGGGTCTAAGCCAGCTGCCCAGTCCTCTGGCCTGTGGTGTGGTGGTTCAAGTCTGCCTTTATTTTTCTTTCATAACAGGAAGAATAAGTTGGGATTGTTGGGGGATCTGAAATTATTGCACAACTGTTCATATGCTGTCCGTACGCATCCAGACTGACTTGCCAGAGGGAGCAATCTGGGGAGTGAAGGATGACTTTTTTTTTTTATTGTATTTAGAGATTTATTTTGGGGCATTTTTGCCTTTATTTTTTTTTGAAAAGGGACAGTGGAGAGAAGGACAGGAAATGTGGAGGAGAGAGAGCAGAGGACACAGCAAATGATCCGACGCCCCCACAGTACCAACACTCGGCCATCAGGTTGCTCCGAAAGTTTTACAATTCTTGACATGCATGACTACTTAGTACAATCACACTGGTCTTTATAGTATTTCTTTGGGCAGAAACAAATCACCATAAATTGCCCTGACAGAAAATGACAACAACCTCACAGTAACTGCCAGAAGGATTAGCACCACCTAATGCTGTTTTCCTGCCTTCTGCCAGCAGAACAGTGCATGATGGGAAACACAACTGACAAGTGAGGCCAATCAGCAGATAGACGGAATGAAGCAAAAGTTCTCGTGTCCTTGTCGCAGATTTGATCAGTGACGCCGAGGCTCCTCTTTATGCTTTATCGCGTTGAAAATTTGTTTAATTGGACTCAATTAGACGTCCTGGAGAACTCGCCGAGCATAAAGCTCACCGGCCGTCGGAGCAGAGTGACAGACTGACAACTGGCGGTGACAGCATGTGTTGGCCTGTTGTGAGAGCCGAGGGAGCTCTGAGCAGAAGGAAATGGATACAGTTGACGGCTGAAAGTCAAGAAGGAGAGCTGTGGTTAACGGGAGCCGCAGGTCCCCCTTCGTTTCCCCTCTGCCTCACCCAATTGTCCATCTTAGAAAAGCTATTTCCAGTGCTTTCCTCCTTCCTCCATCCAGCTCCAGCTTGTCACTCTGATCCCCTTGCTGCAAAGGTAAGACAATCTGGGGGTGGGGGGGGTTGGGGTGCTCCACTGTCACCCTGCTATTGCACAATCAGGCTGACTTCAGGGAACATCTGCTGGAAAAGGAACTGGCACATTTCAACTCTCCGCTCACAGTGTGTGATGTAACTGCGGCTCATCTCCGACTGTGTGAATTTGCCTGAGATCTGCTCATTACTGAGGCAGCAAAGGTTGGTGTGTGACCGTGTGAGGATGTTTAGGTGTGGACTTGGCCGAGCCATTGGGACAGAAGCGCTGATGTGTGCTACTGTTCAAAATAGCCCAGACAGACAGCTGAGCAGCTGTGACCTCAGGTCCCCTGAACTCTCAGTTACACCCGGTGACCACACCGTTTCTTGTAACGCGTGTGTCTATACCTACAGTATAATACACTGAATCATCCGCACTGCCTTTTAAAGACATTAAACTGCCTTTATAAAGTTAGCTTAAGAACAAAAGCAGGAGTTCAAAGTCATTTTCAGGGTAACTCAATTTCAGTTTCTGAGTTTGCTCCCATTATTGTCCATATTTTAAAGCCATCCATGGCTTTCCTCATCAGTCAGTGGAAAATTATTTAAGGATGACAGACAGCTTTGGGTTTGCCAGGCAGACCAATACAGCCCAATTACAACTCAGGCAAAGGAGCAGCACAATATCCTCCGACTGGGTACTCTGCTCTGTGCTCTGCAGCCAGCAAGACACTCACAGCAACAAGCATGAAATAGACTCCGAGGATCAAATACAGTGTGCGTGCAATTGGAACTGTACAACTGTGAGACAGGGTGTGTGAATGAGATCACTGGTGTGTGTCTGTGATGATTTTTTTTTTTTTTTTTTTGCCCATTGTGACATTGTGTGCTTTTGCCAGGAAAGTGCTATTAGTTATGTGCTCCCAGGCTGATGGCTAAAACAGTGGGAGGTGTGGTGAGACTTGGAGGGCCACTGTCGCCTGATACATTGCCATCGAATGCTTTTATAATAACTGCACGGAGGAAAAGAGACCAGTGTTACTCTGAGGACCAATTATAAACATTACTTCTAAATAGTTTGGCTTCGGCCTCGTTGCATGTCCATGTGAGTAATCTGGCTATAGTTAGCAATGCTAAAATAATTCCTGAAAAAGCAGTAACGCATGATATACACTTGATCTAAACCATATCCTCACATTATTTGAGCTCAGCGTGGGATACAGCACTGTGCACATCATCTCTAAAGACAGATTTTGTGCACCACATGCTTGCCTTGTGTTTTCTGAGCCAGGCCAACAGCGGTGCTAAACTTGCAGCAGAAAGCAAAGACAAAATTCAGCAGAATTAAACTCCATGAATAGGCAAAGTTCCCCTTCTGGACCGGCCAACAGGTCAGCCACATCAGCGGAGTGAGTCAACTGTTACAGTTGATGGCCCTGTCATCATGACTGACTTTCCGGTGCCAAACCTATTCACGTCTTGTGCACTCTCACACCCCCACTTGCCTCTATTCCTGGTGCAAACACAGACTGATATGTTTAGCAAAAGGCTTCCTAGATGCAAATAGAGAAGGTCAGACTGAGACAAGCTTGCCCTGCCTATGCCCTCATAACTCAACCCTCCTCACTGCTGACCATGAGCAAGTATGATCACAGTCTTTGGGGGCTGCAAGTTAACCCTCTGCTGACTCTACCTCTGCGCACAGACGGAATAATATTACCAGCTAAACCTCTGAAAAGAAAGTATGAACAGTCCATTTCCCAAGGTGTCAACTTGGGACAAATGTTGCTATATCACTTATGTAATATTCCTTATTGAGGACGGGAGAAATGTAAGAGGTGCCAAGATGAAATATTAAAGAGACTGCACATGCACACAGGTGTTTGCACTTATTAGCCAGATTTCAGTTGAAGATGGGGTGGAGCTACTCTGGAAATTGCGTAACACGCCGATAGAACAAACAGATGTTCTGCCCTAACAGGCACAATATAAAAGTAAAGGAAGTGCCAATCAAGCAAGTTCTGCACAAGCACACACACAATCCGAAGAACTAATCAGGAATAATAACTGAAAACACCGGCGTGGACGTGCCGGGGGTGTTTGCAGCCTTCAGTAAATATTGTTTCCGAGCAAATCTGTATTGTTTGCGACTGGTATTCCTTAAGGAGAGGATATGGAGGGGAGCGCAGGAGCAGAGCACTTTTAATAGAGCTCACCTACTCTGTATCATACCGACACACACAAAAAAAAAAAAAAGAGAGACAAAATGAGACACAAAACAAATGGCAAGTGATGTAAAATATGTACATTTATACACATGCGAGGGTATAGGACTGTAAGAGATCAGTGGGTGCAATGAACGCTGGTCTGGAACAAAACATACGTGGAGGAAAACAAACAAATATGGTTACAGAACACAAAAAAATGTGGCACATTTAAACTGCCAGAATCTTGTAGTCATCTTTCCATTAACTGCAGGGCTTTAAAGTGTAGCTGTGTGTATATGCATGTAGTGTATAGACCTATTTAGCTTAGATACTGTGTACTGTAAGGGCACAGTCAGCTTTTATACTGCATCTGCGTAGCGCTGACCATACATTCATCATTTTCATTCACACAGGTACTGTGCTGGTACCAGCAGATACAACATCCTCCCTTATATGAGAAATAAAAACCGGTGGATGCTACTGTAGAAGTGACTCTGTTTCCCTTTTACTTCATCCTCATGCGGAATCATGTAAAGCACATAAGATTTAGCTTTTTTAACTGTTCCATATCCAAGCTTATTATTTGGGATTTGTTTTTTTAGTCCGATACATGATAAATCCAAGAAGAAACAATAGATGCACGCAGCATTGTCAAACATTTTAACATGATTTTTTTTTCCTGTGTGTGTGTGTGTGTGAGTTAAATTGGTTGTGAATCTGACAGCCTTCCTTTTGATTTCCTCAACCATCGTTTAGAAGAGAAAACCTGACGTCGTGCCATCAGTGAACAAAAATGATGGAAAAAGGTTTTAGAATCTGTGTTATTTTCTGCTTTCTGTAGAAGGACCCAATTCTATCACGACAACTTTGTCTGTTACACATGCATTATTGTGCAAGTCAACGAGCAAACACACACAACTGGATGCACAATAAACATTAGTAAAATCAACAATGTACAGACTTTGTTCAAATGTCCAAAATTGTCCATTTATGTCACGGCCTCGAGGTGGAAAAATGATAAACATTCCTGCTATAGTTTTTTTTTGACAGACATTAAAACTCTTTTTTTTTTTTTTTTGCATTGTTTTCTGTGTAGTATGGAGCAGACAGGCCCATTCATAGTTAACAGAAAGAGAGAAAAAAAAGAATTAAAAACCCAATAAGCTCCATCAGATAAGAGCTTTTTTTCAGGATCATAACCTCACACGCTCCCTTTCAAAATCTTTCCGCCTATATACAATTACATACTATACACACCTAGTTTATCTGCACAATATGTTCAGCCGTGCAAGTGTGCCTGCGCTGTACCTGTGAACTCATTACATTCTAATCCCTGCCAAGGTACACAGTCATTAGAGTATATCAAATCTGCTGTTCTGGGCCAGGCACCTGGGACTGATCTATCAGTCTATCATGCATTCCTTAATCCTCCAAAAAAGAAATGAGCTGAGTTTTCAAATGAGCTGAATTCTTCTGCCTGGCTGGCAAACGGTGATGAGGTTTGGGAGCTCGAGCAGATAAGTAAAAACCAGCAGCAGGAAAAAAAAAGAAGACAGCTGTTCTGGTGTATGTAAAATGCGTGTAAGTGATTTGTTTATAAGTGTTCTTAAGTAAAATCAGAAAGGCGCAGTCCCGTTCTGAATCACAAAGGCTGTGTTTGTGTGAGTGAAGCGAGGAGCTGCGAGGGGCTTTATTTGCGTCTGCACACGCAAACATGCCAAACGTAGTGGAAAGCTTTATCTTTATAGATGAGCGTACATGGAATCAGCTTGTGCAAACACCCGCGTTGGTGATGCTGCAGGACGACAGGTTCCTGCATTAGCCCCCTTTCCCATCTACAGTCTCCGAGAACGCTAGTCCACGACCTGCCCTGCTCTCCGTTTGTACTGTTCCTTCATTACCGTCCATCCGCGTAGGCTGAGGACAGGAGTAAGGATTATATTTGTGATATGTAAATGCTATGAATGTCTGTGTGCATGTAGGTTCCTAAAGGGGCATGGGTGAGGGTTGATTCACAGACGCTGCTGCTGGCATCAGAACAGGATCCACTGCAGGCAAAGTCCAGAGAGGAGCAGCGCGAGGCTCCAGGGTCGAGCCCAGCTGGCAGACGGCGATCCCCCTATCACCCTCACCGAAGGGGGCTTAGAGGGGTTTTCTTGTGGGCTTCTACCTCCAGGCTGTCTCCCAATTGGCTTCCCTTCGCTGGAGACTTCTGTGTGTACTGTGAGACGCAAAAATAGACAGACAGACAAGAGAAGGGAAGAGGAAAAAACAGTCAGATAAATAATTTAACTCTCCACTCTGTAATCATAGTAATCTGCTTTAATGTTCCTTTGGGCTTGTAAAACTGTATATTAGGGGGCTCATCATCATCCAATCACTGTTCCCATCATCTCATTTCAAGGCTTTTCAAAAACAATCACACATAGAAATTATGTACGATTATGTCTGTTGCAGCTAAAGCGAGTTCATATGTACATCAGAAGACGCGCAGCTGCGGCTGTTTCAGTTGAAAGCGCCCATAATTTACTGTCAAGAGTGCTTTAAAATGTTCACAAATGCATTTAGAGCGGCGCTGTGTTGCCGTTCAGCTACCAGCTCACTTTCAGATTTTCGCTTACATACATTAAACTACTGTCGCTGTATGTTGTGCTTTTTGTTCCTGCCCACAGGGACACTTACCTCCCACATCTATCTGTATAGACAAATCACGGTGGACATCCATAACCAATCAATTATGAATAATAATAAGGACCTTTTTTTTTGCCTTTATTTAGTAGATAGGCAGGAATGTGGGGAGAAGAATGGGGAGTGACCTGCAGCAAAGGGTCGTGGGCAGGAGTAAAACCCACTGCATCGGGGAACTATAGCCACTGTTTATGGGTCAGAGCTCCGATAAGGACCCATTTTATAACACACCCCTCCGAACATATGTGTAAAGTTACACACTCAAACTTTCCTGCTGAGATCTGTTGAAATGTCAGCTCTCCTCAGCGTCTATCCATAAGTCATCACACTGCTCCTCTCTTTCCTCGATGGGTGGTGAAAATGTGTTGGTGTGTCTTAAATCAAAAGGAAATGGATTCCTGCTGCTCATTACCCATCCTTCTTTCCGCTCCTCTTCATAGATCCCAGTCTGACCCAACCCCGGCCAGCGCTGCACATCAATGAATTAGAAGCAGATTAACTCCCCCGGAACAGCAGGTGTTCTCAGATACGAATTAAATTCCAGTTAACCTGCATAACTAAGACACTACAAGTATCAGACATGTAGTTTTAATCCACGGGCAGAACTCAGAGGCTCTGAAAACCTGGTGCGAGTGCATAAAGAAGAAGAATCCCGACGGATACAGAAAAACAAATAGGGACGAGGAGTTAAGGATAATATGACTGTGTGCTTTGTGATAGGAGGGTCTGCTCGTTATCAGAGTTCTGACAGTGCCAAAGCCTAAAGTCAAAATGTTTTTTTTAACTGTCACAGCAACAAAAACGGGGCCAAATTTGCAGTGATTCCAACTGCTGCGAGTATAAACTGATGTGTCTAAAGTTCAGGTGTCTAATTAAATACAGTTACAGCCTTCCCTGTTGCGATGACTCGACTGTCAAACAACTTGACAGCTCTGTGTGTGATAAGTTATCAGATATTACACCCATATAATACCGAGAAATTTATAGCACGTCGCTGAGGAGTTTTAAAAACCCCACTAAATCACTTCTACAACAATATAACAGAGAGAAATTTATTGCTCCTCTTAAGCTGTCATTCACTATGAATCCTTCCTTTCTTTGTATTCCTAAAAATACACTCTTCAGTAGAACTACTACACATCAACCCATCCCGCTCTGGGCTCTTGGGCTTGTAAGCATGCATGTGTGAATAGGGCCGGGCAGAGCTCTAGAGAGAAAAGTGTTTCCCGTGCCAATGGTTTTTGTTGTTCCAGTAGACAATAGACAAAGACATCATTTATCCCAAATCAGATTGCCGTTATTGTTTCAATGGAAATGGGCTGCATCTCATCAGGGAGATGTCAGAAAACAGCATCTGAATGGGCCAACACAACACCAATACTGCTCTGCTGCAGGCTAACCAACTGGCTAATTAATGGAGCAGGTCCTTGCCAAAACAATCAATTACACCACAGAGAACAGCACTGCCAACTAGTTAAAGTGTCTTTTTTTTTTTTTTCATACAAGGTAAGTATTCAGGAATGCACAGTGTTGCTTTGTGAACTTTGAAGTAGAGGAAAATTGGGTTCAATAAAAGTTACAAGGAGAGTCGATACCCACTAAACTAATCCTTTAACCAGGGACGTTTTGGGAATAGTAGTAAAGAAAAAACATTCTGAGCTCATTTGACCGAGCTATCAGACAGACTGAGCATAATTGTGCGTCCTAATCAGAGTGGGTTCCAGCATCCTTCATGGTGTGCTGCAGGGAAAAGTACACGAGGGCTGCTCTGCTTTATGTGCATGTGTATGACCTGGACCTAAAATAAGTGGCCAAAAAAAGACTGGCTGCTCGGTTTTATGGTAGCAGTTGAATTGTTTAAGACGTCTGAAACAATGACAGTTTTTCTTAGAAATGGATTTAAAATAAGTAATTGTTAGCACAAATTGGCAATAGTTTGAAGTTCCAAAAACAGATGAAACATCTGGAATAAGTACAGAAAAGGTACCGAAAGGTGCTCCAAAATTAAGCTCAGCCATGACAGGTGCACTGTAATTTATTTTCTTTTTTTTCCCTTCATTATTCATATTATAATTTTATACTAAAATGCAGTAATACATAGTTCCGTATTTATCTGTTTTAGCATTAAAAAAATCTTTAGCATTTCATTTGGCGGGCTGCAAGGTGGTGCACTGTTGCCCCGCAGCAAGAAGGTTGCCGGTTTGCGTCCCGGTGGGGGCACCGGGATCTTTCTGCGTGGAGTTTGCATGTTCTCCCCGTGCAGTGTGGGTTCTCTCCGGGTTCTCCAGTTTCCTCCCACAAGGTCCAAAAACATGTTGAGGTTAGTTGGTGATTCTAAATTGTCCGTAGGTGTGAATGTGAGTGTGCTTGGTTGTCTGTCTCTAAGTGTGGCCCTGTGATAGACTGGTGACCTGTCCAGGGTGTCCCCTGCCTTCACCCTAAGTCAGCTGGGATAGACTCCAGCCCCCCGCGACCCTAGTGAGGATTAAGAGGTGTATAGATGATGGATGGATGGATTTCATTTGGCTTAAAAGTTCTCAACATGTGAAGAAATTCTACAACTTTTTTCAGGTTGATGACAAAAGAAAAAAAAAAAAGAAAAAAACAAAGAAAACGAGTTAGTTTAGTTTCAGCTTGTTCTATTTCCTATTCTTTCTCATCTATTTGGAAAGAAAAGTATTTGTGATACAACGTACATTATTTAAGAAAAACATGGGTCTAGCAAAACAAAATAGCACTATACTGAAATAAATAATGTCATGACATAGTGCAGAAATGTTATATAGTTATATATAGTGAGAATGTGGTAATAGCACAACAATAGAATTGGTAGAAACTTGAGAATATTTAAGTTCCTAAAAGCAAGCAACAACTTGAGGCACACAGAAAAAAAAAAAAACCAGGAGGGAAGGAGGATAATGGAATGTGATGTTGTTGTCATAATGAGACAATGTTAGCAGATAAGCTGTGCTTCATAAGCTGGCTCATGTGTAAATCCCCCAAATATGGTGGAGGGGGGAGAGGAAAGAAGGGAGAACAAGCGAGACAGAAAAACACAGGGTGGGAGGGAGTAAAAGATGACATAGAGGGTTAGAGGAGGAAAACAGTTAGTTCAGCTTTTCAATATGAGGAGGATGAATCTCCATCGTCACTCGTATCACGACAGATGGAATCAATCACCTCAGGCGACTTGAAGGCTATGCGATGGCACATCGTCATGCGTCTCCCATTACAACAACAGTCGATGACATGTGTTCTCCATCAGCAAAAGACAAATGTGATTTAATATATAAAAAAAAGTTTTAGAATAGGCAACAAACAGCGACACAGAGGAGCACTGACAGTGTGTAAATGTGTATATATGTGTGTGTGTGTGTGTGTCCGAGACCAGCATAAAAAATAGGCTGCGGTAGCTTTCATTTGTCATTCAAGCTTGCGGTAAACTGGGTCATTGAGAGGAAGAAAGAAAACATACATCTGACCAGTCAACTTCCACTCTGATGTATAATAAGTGTGGTCGCAACCTTCGGAACTACACATATAGTTGAGAGACTTGTTGACCTTTGCATTGGCCCAGTGTGTGAGAAATAGTTCACAGTGTCCTCTGCCACTAATGCCTCTCCAGATGGGTAGCTTGTGTGTTTGGAGGAGCCTCCATTTCCCACTGGCCAAAGAGGAACAACAGCTGCTTCTAACAAGCCGGGCCGAAGCACTGAGGAAGGGGTGGACCTGAGGCTCTGGCCAAAAGGGAGGAGGGATGTGAGGGGAGGGAGAGAGGAGCAGAGGAATAAAGGTTGGAAGGTGAGTGGGAGGAATAACAAATGACTTGGCCACCAGTTCTTTGGAAAAAAGTCTGACGGACAGAAAATTGCATGATGGTTCTCTGGGCAACCATGTCATTTTTCTACTGCTGCTTCTCCTTCTCGGTTTCTTTCGGTTTGCCAGTCGTACAGCCACGGCTGCCTCACAGATTAAATCCTCAAACCAATGTAGAGGAAAAAGGCAAACAATTCTCTTTCTGTCTTCAACTGATAAGATTTAGCCTCTCTTTTAATCAGCATGTCATGCATATAGTGGGCTACCAGACTGACATCATGAATGCTCGCAACACACTAGGATGCACAAATACTCGCACACCTGAACACCTGAGGTAATGGGGCCATAGGGGCAAAGAATCTACCAAGAGACAAATCCAGTGTGTTAACCCTGGAAACTCACATCCACATATATATGTTTTGTATGCTACCTGTGTGTGTGTTTGTGTGTTGTGCATGCCTGCATAGGACGCCTTGCTCAACCAATAGCTGCAGAGCTGTAATCCAGCGAGGAATGGTGCTACAGTGTACCGGGGATTAGCAAACTGTTGCACTACTTGATATGAAGGTGACAAGGCAGCTTTTCCACACCGATATATGATATATTAATGTGTTCAATTGTTTTCTATTTCGCGGAATTAAAATCAACACAACATTATGATATAGCGGCTAAATGTATTTACAGTGCAACCTGATGTTTCACAGCGTAACTTAACCC